GACTTGGCTTCAATCACGTGTTATCGCCAGCCGTCCACATTTTATGCACATGTAATGACTATAAATCGTTTGATATTACATCAGAGGACTTGCCATTAATCCTCGGTAACTGAAGGATGTGTTTGTCTCTGTATTCATGATTCGCTAAAATTGGTCCCAATGAGTAGCAATTTTAAATTTAAACTAATATTAGTATTTCCATTTGGTCTAGATAAATAAACTTCAACTTCAAAGGGTTATTAAGTTTGTGACAAATATTGGTTTTAAAAATTTATTTAAATTTGTAAATTGATGCTACAACAATTTATGCAATGTCTGTAATCGTTCTAATGACTAAAGCAAATTTTGGGTGACAAACAAAGGTTAGTAACTAAATTATTCCATGGTACTGCGTCCTTCTTGGGAAGTAATAGTGCGCTCAGCTAATGGAATTCGAATGTTCATCACTATATTCATAACAGCCCACCAAATACTTCTATCGTGAGCCAGATTAATCCTTTTCAAACCCCAAACACAACCCCCTAAGATTAATTTTAATATCATACTCCCATTTGCGCCTAGGGCTTCCGTTGGGTATTTCATCTTTACGTCTTTAGAGAGCAGATGGGAAGACAAACCATTCGAACCTGCATGGTTGCAAACCCTAATTTAAGGGAACATATACAGGCATAATATAGTAATAAATGTTTGTAGTTATGCGTACATCCTGCTTTAGTATGTAGTGACTTGGTTTTCAGTGCACAGAATAACTTTGTGGGATGGGCTTTGTAATCGGATTAAACAACGTTTGTTCTTTTAAGCACCATTTACTCGCCTCTGTAACTGAAATTCCGTGTATTTTGGTACAAATATAACAACGTTTAAAATATAATTTAGAAAACTTTTGCGATGTAAAAGGAAGTCAGTTTTTTCAACATTTTATGCTGGTTTTTATTTAAATGAATGTTTTATGCTAGTGTATTCCTATGATAACTGTTTTAAATTATCGAAAAATCGGAAAATAATAATTGTTAAATAATGACTGTACATTCACTTTCACTGGTGCCAAAAGACCAAATACTTTCAGACCAGAAAGTCCAGTCAGTCGGAGCTAGATATTTCGTGCACAGATTATAAGCCATACTTTCAATTATTACAACGTGAAAACCATTCAAGGTGCATTGTTAAAAATCAGATAGTGTAATATTTTTGAAGCCATGTGAAGTTTTGGTGGCATAGCGAATCGTCCGTTGTACTGATTCAGGAGATGGTCTCCGGATGTAGAGGCAGTTATCAAAGCAGTCGCTTAAAACCGACAAAAAGAGGATTTCTGAATGGACAGAAAAGCGTTCTATTAACTGATACTCAGAAAAATACAAACTTCTTACACAATCTGTGAACAGAGAACTTGAGAACGTTATGAGGAGCTTAATGATTTTTGCTTTTTCGCATAATATCATTATGTTCACTAAGTCAAGAATCGTGAGACTGCCGTGACACACAACACGCATGAAGAGAACAACAAATTTGTAAGTTTTGTTTACGGAATATCATAAGGAATAAGTATCTTGGAAAAACCAGGCATAGATGGCAGGATCTAATTATGATGATGATAATGATATGTTTATTCTGTCTGTTATGTACTCGTTTCAGATGGTGGGGAATGACACTCAAGTCTTTTCCCCCAGATTTTGCGTTACATCATTTATACACATCTTGAACTTATTCTGTTAAGATTCCAGTTCCATTCTAATATAGGATAATATAACAGTAGTCTTAAATGTGAAGATGTGAACAGGACAGAAATTACATGATAATGAAGTGATGTGACATTAGTGAACAAAATAAGTAGACATTTCGTGAGAAACTGAAAAGCCGTAGGTAAAAATTTTAGAGTATTGTGTAATATCATATGTTGTTTATCTGTATATTTATTTATAATTTAGTGAATTAGTGAAGTAGATAAAGTTAGTAATTCTTTACTGAACTTGTTTGTAAAATCATAGACAGATACTTCCATGTTTCTTTCACAGTCTTCTGAACTTAATTCGTCTTGTTGTGAACAGGTCACTCTTTTCTGCCTTATGATAACGACATCGTCCCTGTCCCTGCCAACAACCACTGTCCCTGATGCGGCAGAAACAACAGCCTACACAAGTACAGAACAAGCACTGGACTCCAGTACCGCTGAAGCTCCGAGTGGACAGGATGTATCTGATAACGCTGTCAAGCAAACATTAAACAGTGTCCCTGGAGTTAAGATAGAAGCAGACCTACTACTGCTCATTCCGGAGAGTGTGGCAGAAGAAGGGTCTGTAGCTCCAGTTGAAGTTCCGCGAAGTGGCAGGCCATGGAGCCGCGTTCGTTCCCTTGAGGTTGCAGAAGATTATGACACGCAAGAGAAAGATGTAATTGAGGACGTCGATATGGATGTAGCGGAAACCATTGTGTTTAAGCCGCTTTTGCGCAGCCGGAAAAACAACAATAGCGTGAGGCGTCGTGTGTACAGGAACGACGGGCCTTATGCTAATGACGGCTCGTATAAGAGGGCTCCATTCACTTACTGCCCACCCTGTAGATACCACTTTTTCTGAACACCATTCTGAAATGACAACCATGCCACTGGCTGCAGAAACAAAACGAGAAGACGTTTGAGGCAGAATAAGGATGCCACTAAAAGACAACCACTGTCAGGTCTAAAGAAAGTCTTAAATGCTGTACGTCCACCCATATATAAAATTACATAAAAATATATCCTGTATGGATTATAATATTGTATCCGGTTTTTGCATAGTGTTCATCAAATGATTGTATAGTGACGGGAATATCAACGTACATGGGCTTCATCTCCAATGCTGCGAAAAGGATTTCAATTACATTGTGTATTGAGGGATTTAATTAAAAAATTGTTAAGCGAATTTAGTTCGTATCGGTCCAATATAATCCTTACTTCATACGAAGCACAAATCGAGCTTTAAGTATTTTCTAAGGTGGCTGTCTTCTGGGTTGTTGCGCCATGTAGTCTGGCGGGACGGTGCAACAACCCAGAAGACAGCCGCCTTCGGACTCACCGCCGTCAGAATCTCTAAACCTGCTAAGTATTTTCTAAATAATGGCCTACTCTTTGAAACATCTGCACATGAAAGTAAATTTCTCCTCATCAGGACCTAAAACGTTTCTTTGGAGCCTTTCACCGGTATTGAAAATGTTTAATGAAATGTATAGAACAATAATTTCTGAATTTAAGCGGAGTGATTAGACTTCCAGCACTTGATTTTCATCTTCAGTCCTCTAAATTTAGAATTCACCTTTTCAGTGTTCTTCTATACGAGGTTGGGATCATTGGGCTCTAAGCCTGAAACTTCAGGAAATTTGTGTCTTCGTCAGCAAATAAATCTTCTCTTATGATAATTTCTTTCGAGCCTATATTATTAAAATATCTCAGTTATTTATCTGTTCTTTTTCAGAGCATTGTTAAGAAAGCCATTGAAGGGTATCATGTATCTGTCTACCCGCCAGTATCTTTCTCAGTATGATACACAGTTACCGACTGTAGTAAAACGCTACTTAAAGAGCTCATTTTCGTCGCTCTATTAGTTTTTTTATGAAACAATCACTAGTAGCGTTTAATGTACTGTCAGAAGCTTGTGCGTGGTGGCGGAAATTTAAAAAATATCATATTCCTTCGGGAAACAGATAATAACATGGTAACGCGGGGAATTTTTAATTTGCTGTTTGCATAGTAAATTGATTAATTTTGATAAAATAATTGGGAAAGGAGACTAATCATGGTAGTATGGGGCACACGGATACTTGGTAAAAGACATTAGAATGTGGAGATTCGTACAACATTTTATTGCCTTATCACGGAATATGAGAGCCTGAGTGTTAATTTGACTGTCTACGGATTGAATTACAGGTACTCGATTCCGGACAAAGACCATATAATTCGTCATCACTGCGTGATCAGTATAGTGTCCCACACAGTGGGTACAGGGAACTATTTTTCTGGGACAAAGTGTCCAAAGCTTGTAGCTGACCACTCATTCGTCCGAAGTAAATAATATGTAGATCTATACCTCTAGTAACCCATTCAGGACGTGGTGCTTAGTCACAGGGACAACTTTATTTTCATTTAAAATGTTCCGTAAATGTGGGAATTTGTCAGTGTAGAATGGCATTATCGGGAAGAATAATTCTTGCAGTTAAAATTTTAGCTTCGTCGTCCAGTTTGACTGATAGTAAGTTACATTTTAGGCCTATGAATTAACCAAGGCAGCTGAGTGTACAACTGAAGCAACTGATGTTTGCTCTCAAGTTCCAATGTCCCGGATGTATTGGCGTTTTATCTACAATTGAATATTACTACAGTATTTATTTAATTTAATATTTAAAAACTATTTTATTCCTATAAACTTTGTTAATGTTAATAATTTATTTTTTATAAGAATATATTTCGTATATGAGCTTCATGAAAAAATGAATGACTGAGCTTCTGGTTTGTGTGCGACGAGTTGACGAAGACCTGTGGCGAGTGCATTTTGCCTTGAAATAAATGTATTAAATGTTTAATAAATCAATTATTTATTATTCTATGTGAGGTGTAGAAAACACATGAAAGAATTTTCCACTTCCGATCCCTCGTCTAAAGATTTAATTCTCAGTTTCTTAAAATAATTACTGTTATTATATTTGCATATATGAACCGTATTGTCGATTATCATTTGTTTAACTTATTCTTCTGGAATCGTTAACTAAATAATAAAACAAAAAAGTATAATACTGTACGTTAATAATATATACTACCATGTAAAATGATCTTTAAACATCCTGAAATTCTCCTTACACGGTACGTTTAAGTACATTGAGCACGTGAAAGGACTTATATTTCATTACCCTAATACATACGTTCTACTGGGCTGATCACTCGTCCAAGGAGTCCTACCAAATGTCTAAGTCCGTCACGGACTGTATAGCCATATGTATATATTAGTGTTATTGGTTTTGTGCTGTGCGCTGCTTCCTTCAGTTAATCCCATAAGAAAAAGTCAGGTGGTGTTAAATGTGGTAATCGCGGGGGTTCTTAACAGATCCTCTGCGTCCCATCCATTGGTCGGGAAAAGTCTTGTCAAGATACGTAGTCCCTGAAATCACGATGGGTAATGTAGGGGTGCCCCTTCTTGTTGACACCACATGTCCTCATCTCCATACAGTTGATGAAGGACAGAAAGAATAAAAACTTAAATGTGTATACATATTTTTGGGACATACTTTATTCTAAGTACGCTCCACAAATCGCTTGTAGAAATGACGATCGGTAATCCTATCGAGATTCGAGATACGTGCCTCCCGGACACAAGTTTGTAATGTTACTGCAACACTATCTTGCTGAGAGTCGTGCTAAAAATATACTCTTCCTCCTTCATTGGGTATGCCTCTCTAGAATTTTCCAGTTCAGAAGAAATAACTTCTTCGTATCTAATATTAATATCAATTAGCATTCTTACCGTTCATTAGTCTTTGGGGAAAGCCGCCATTATCATCGGTACAATGTTTATCACCTGTTGATCGTTTGGAACTTATGAGTCATATTAGCAGTGACTAATAAATTTGAGTGTGACTTTAAATTATAGAAGTGACGAATATAATTAGCACCATTCGTGCAGGAGTGTTTGCTGAGAAGTCATAGAATAGTGCACCTTAACTAGAGAATTCAGCTCTTTTTGGTCAACAAATATTAATGGAATATTCTCTTGCGTCTTTCTGATACCTGAGTTGTATAAATACGTTTGTTGCGACTTTGAATATTCACATCGCTCCTGCAACTTGTCTGAAGTGCGAAGTGAACTGAATACGGTGGCAAAACGTAAACATACATCAGAGCATCTCTCGTCATGAATACATGCACTGTAAGTAGCCTAATATTAAACTATTCGTAAAACGTTGAAATCTTATTGATAAGGTAAACAGCTAAGAAAATTGAACTTACAAAAATGCTTCACAGTCGAGCTAATGTTATTTTTATTTTATTTGCATTGTTCTGCCTTGCTTTTTATTTCTCTGATGTTTTATGAAAACTAATTAAATTCCATTCTTACATTTTGTACCTCGGACTCGAACCATACAAACCCACACAATCATTTCAAATTTCACCGTCTAATGCATTACCTTCTGCAGGTCGTAACACTGTACCTACTACTAAGTGCATCAGTTCTTTCTCTGCCAACTTTGTCGTCCGCTGAGGCTGGGCTCTCCGTTGCCGAAGTGTCTCAGTCTAAGAGAATATACAAAGAGGATCTTAGTTCAGAAGTTGAAACAGAGGGCTCGGAGGAACCTGTGTTCCCGGACGACAGCGTAGAAGCGGCAGAGACTCTTGTCTTCAGACCTCATTTCAAATACTGGCATAATTATTGCGTTCAGAAGAGACTGAAGCTGGAAGGCCGAAGCTATCCCAGCCATCAGTAAATCAACATTTATGGATATAAACGCTGAAAGTTACTACACCCGTCCAACCACAGCATGCGATACAGCAGTGTTAAGCAATTACAAGAAGAGATACTCTGTTACTAAAACTTGTACGTGACATTCAAGGATAGGGCGACTAGCTGCGACCACCCCGGTTACCGCACTTCATCATCACAAGAAACACACTTTGGTTAAATTTTATGGTGTTGATAGCGACGTGTTTCGTGTGAACAATTCTTAAGACTATTATAGAGTTGTTATTCATTATACCAGCAACAAGACCTTTGATTGCAAATCTTGGTATGAAATTTGGCAGTTATGGGCAGGAAACGATGTTTACTTGAAATAATCAGAATATATTTTGCCTGTCTTGCCTTTTTACAAACTTATCTACACGCGTCACTTCATTACTGTTATTCCATGAATCATGTTCATAAACATTCGTACGCACACTCTTCCACGAAAAGCGTAACTACTTGTGCGCGTGTTACGATGTATGTACCACATTAGCAGTCAGCTTTTATCCATGACTAAGTAAATAAAATAATTTAACGTTTTGCAAAGATTAGAGCTAAACAAGTTGAACAATGCCTGTCCATTATCACCATTTATGAACATGTATAAAATCAATATAGCCAGTTTAATTTAAATCTACGTTAGGTTAAGGTAGGTTATAGCTTATATATACGAGCAGTCGCCATATGTTTTGTTGATGCTGGTCTTCTGTGTTGTCTGGCCGTGCAGATTTGTAGGTAGATACCAGCGCTTCGGAGGAATATGCTATCTCCATCTTCGCACTATGTTCCTCCGAAATGTTGGTGTCTGTCTACGAGTCCACGTGGCTTGACACCTCAGAAAGCAACATCGACGTCTTCACCACCCTGAGAAGGGAACGTTAAATCGATTAATATTTTTCAATTACAACTTATTTGCCAATAATTCAGTAAAATGTTGTTGAGCCTGTGAATTAATTGCCTGTGTTTGTAATTTAAAACAATAATTAATTAACTATTCAACGTGTTAATAAAAATTCATTTTAAATATTAATCTGGAAAAGATTGACCTGGGATATTTTCTTAACATGCAACAAACTATAGAAGGAGTTTCCAGCACGTTCTAAAGTCACAAGCATCTGTTCTTGATTATAGCAAGTGATGATAGGTATCTAATAAACTGCTACCACAATAGCAGATGCTGTCAAAAGATTTAACACTTAAGCTGAATATTGTAGTCCGAAAATTAAATGCATGAGGTCGAATGTCATGATTGGCGATTAAGAATGAGTCAAGTAACGGGGAAGTTGTGACGTCCATAATAATGATAATAATAATAATAAATTTAATGTGTGTTTGTTTTTCATGTCCAAACGTTTAATATTTCAAGGCGTGTTGGAATTCATTGTGATAAATCATATATGTGTGAATTTATCGTACGTTACGTCAGTTTATTTTAACTACAATTATTTATTGCTTTTTACTTTCGTACCAGTATCATTAATATAATGAAATAAAGATGTCGTTATTAATTTGTGTTCATGTTTTGTGCTAACTGTCAGATCCTTATTAAGCTACCTGAATTTAACCTT